AAAGGCCTGTATCTGCACTCTGCATTTGTAGTAGGATATATATATATTAAATAAATTATTAAATAAAAGCTGAAGACAAAAAAGCCTTTTTAAAAAGATTCACCGTGGCCTGAGTTGGGTGGTGAGGAAGACCTTGGTGGGAAGGGCGGGGGTATAAACCGAACAAACAAATAAATTCATTGTAGCGATGGCACAGGTATTATCCACTAGATCCCTATAACACTAGTACAGCCACACACAGAGAGGCAGTTTGGTGTAGTGGCTAAGTGTACGGACTCGAATCTGGGAGAACCGGGTTGGATTCCCCACTCCTCCACTTGCACCTGACTGGATGACCTTGGGCAAGCCGTAGTTCTGATAAGAGCTGTTCTTGAAAAAGAGCAGTTTGTGTCAGAGCTCTCTCAGCCCCACCTACCTCACAGGGTGTCTGTGGTGGGGAGGGGAAGGGAAAGGAGTTTGTAAGCCGCTCTGAGAGACCTTTGGGTAATGAAGGGAGGGGTATAAATCCAATCTCTTCTTCTTCTTCTACTTGCCCAGCAACAATATATTGTTGTTTGAGTGCTCAGGAGAGGGGGGGCTGGGAGTGGATTGCATACTTCTTTTGGAAGCTTTTTTCCTCGCAAGACATTTTTGAGACCAGGAGCAGATCTCCTCCATGGGGCCAAAAACCCAACCTGTTGCATTCTGGATCATGTCACATTCCTTCCTCTTTACTTTCCTGCCAGCTGCTTTTGCTTCAGCCCCTCCATCACCATGTTAATGAGCCTCCAAATGCACATGTGTGAATTGACTTTTTCAATTTCCTGTCTCTTTCAGTGGCGAGTTTTCCTTCCCAGCTTCAAGTTTGAAGTGGTTGATTCCCCCTACATCTCACTATATACAGGTAAAACCCCTGCCTGGACTTGTGAAGCAGGTCCTCTTGCAGCACGGCATTTTAGACATGCAAATGACTGCATGGACAATATATGTGCACAAAGGATACATGCATAATATATAAAACGTTCATGCATAACAACTCGTTTGTGTGCACAGCATGCAAAATTCTATAGGGTTAAAAAGTCTTGCCTCTATTGAGCCCCTTTTCTATACAAAAAAAACCTTATGCCATGGGTCTCATCTTTTTAGCCTAATGAGTATAGGAGACGTACGCTGCCAGTAAAGGGATACAAGTGATTCCGGGAGCGGTGTTCAGAGACCTGAGTCAGATTGAGGTGATGAGAGCGGAGGTCCTATGACTGATAGACAACTTAAAAACTGATAAATCACCAGGCCCGGATGGCATACATCCCCGACTTCCGAAGGAACTCAAATGTGAACTTGTGGATCTCCTGACAAAAATATGTAATCTTCCCTTAAAATCTGCCTCCATTCCTGAGGACTGGAAGGTAGCTAATGTCACCCCCATCTTTAAAAAGGGTTCCAGAGGAGATCCGGGAAATTACAGGCCAGTCAGTCTGACGTCAATACCAGGTAAGTTGGTGGAAACCGTCATTAAGGAAAGAATTAGTAGGCACATTAATGAACAAAAACTATTGAGGCAGACTCAGCATGGGCTCTGTAAGTTAAGATCTTGTCTCACTAACTTGTTAGTGTCCTTTGAGGGGGTGAACAAATATGTGGGCCCAATAGATGTTGATTACCTTGACTTCCAGAAAGCTTTTGATAAAGTTCCTCATCAAAGGCTCCTAAGTAAGCTCAATAGTCACGGGATAAAAGGACAAATCCTCTTGTGAATCAAAAACTGGCTAATTAATAGGAAACGGAGAGTAAGTATAAATGGGAAATTTTCTCAGTGGAGGGGGGGTCAGCAGTGGGGTACCCCAGGACTCGGGACTCGGTCCAATGCTTTTTAACTTGTTTATTAATGATTTGGAGTTAGGAGTAAGCAGTGAGGTGGCTAAATTTGCAGATGACACGAAGTTGTTCAGGGTGGTGAGAACCAGGGAGGATTGTGAGGTATTCCAAAGGGATCTGTTGAGGATGGGCAAGTGGGCGTCAACATGGCAAATGGGCTTCAGTGTGGCCAAGTGCAAAGTGATGCATGTTGGAGCCAAAAATCCTAAATATAAATACACATTGATGGGGTCTGAACTGGCAGAGACTGACCAAGAGAGAGATCTTGGAGTCGTAGTAGATAACTCACTGAAAATGTCGAGACAGTGTGTGACGGCAATAAAAAAGGCCAATGCTATGCTGGGGATTATTAGGAAGGGAATTGAAATCAAACCAGCCAGTATCATAATGCCCCTGTATAAATCAATGGTGCGTCCTCATTTGGAGTACTGTGTACCATTCTGGTTACCACACCTCAAAAAGGATATTATAGCATTGGGAAAAGTGCAGAAAAGGGCAACTAGAATGATACAAGTATTGGAACACTTTCCCCTATGACGAAAGGTTAAAGCGCTTGGGAAAGAAAGGCGTTTTAAACATCCCTGGGTTCCCTGCCTGATCTTCTCCAAGTGCCCCGCGGGAGAAGATCAGGCAGGGAACAATGCCTACCCTTCGTCAGGGGGTGTGGCATATGCAAACGAGTTATGCAAATGAGCTCCTGCACCTCTTTTTTTTACGAAATGACCCCAGAGTATTTGTATAAACATTGCCTGGTAGACCTTGTGGGTGGAAGTGGTAGCAGTTGTGGGTGTGCTGTGGAGGAAGCAGTCCTGCTCCTTCTTCAACAACTGCTGCTGCCCTTTCACTTTGAAATATACAAACTGAGGGTCACAGTGTTAGGAAGATATACAGAAGTATATGATCAAGGTAAATCAATTTTGTGCTTTTTTGTTTTTCTATACTGTTATATAAATATTGGTATCAGATATTATCAAAAAAAAAGGTTTCACCCCAAAAAAACATCAAAGTGCAGGTTTACGTTCTGTACATATATTCAGATAGCACCTTGTCAGTATCACAATCACTAGTCCCACGGGACTCTAGTAATTTACCCATTTCCAATACAGTCTTTTTCAAGGACTGTGATGTATATAAAGAACATAAGGCACAATAATTTATCTTTGTGAACGCAAAAACTCTTTAGATAGTAGCCTATTTTCCAGGGTCCCATTGGAACCCTTGCGGCAGACATAATAACCTATCTAGGAGAGCATATCCCTCAAGTTCTATCACAAAAGCGCCACTGGCAAACACCCATCAGCCACTGTTCCCAAAGTTGAGTTATGAGCACCTGTCTTGTAAGCAGGGATGGATAGTGTTGACTTTAATTAAATCCATAGATCTTCTGCTTCCTCCCTCATAAACTGGCCTACCAGCAGAAGGTGCTTGATGAATAGAGCCTTGCCTGGCACTCAGTACACAAGGTGTCTATAATTAAGCATCCTGTGGAAGGTGGAGATAAGGTGGCGGGGCTGGGCAAGTCCGTCTCTTCAGCACCAAAGTACCAGGCCTGGATTGGCATGAGAGGAATAGTAGCCATTGGGATATTGACAGAAGTGCCTGCAAGACAGATGTGGTATAAGGGGATATTTCCTTCTGGCTGCATCCGTCACTGGGAGTTTTCTCCTCTGCCCTCTCATCTGCAGCCTGTACCCCACAAGGAGTGATTTCCCCCCCCCCTGTTATTTCACCCTCTGCCTGCAGCTCTTTACTGTGCTGAGGGATAGTTATTAAGCAGGAGTAACTGGAATCAGTGCTACAAGAAACGGTGTCATCTTTCGTGAGAAGGCTAGAACGTCCTCTCTTAGCTCTTAGTGTTCTTAGGGGCTCTAAAGATAGTAATGTCTCTGCATATCAAAATGGATTCTGGAGATGTGTCCACAAACAACCTACGCCAATTTGATGTCAGGGTATTCAACTAACCCAGGCAATCTACAGTCCCACTCACTTGTACTTAGGCTGCATGCAGATATGATTGAACTTCAAGGACCAAATATGATTGAACTTCAAGGATTGCTGGTGCAAACACAGGAATAAGTACCATGTGACTTCAGGAATAATGTCAGCACTAGGTCACAAGAGTAAGTAGTGGTATCAGTACGTTCATGCCCAGCCTTGCTGATCTACTCAGCCCTGCCCACCCACTCAATCCTCTCAAGCATTTCCTAACCCTGTTCTACCTACCCAGTCTCCTGCCTGCTTATCCTTGCCCTGCAACTGCATCTTCGTCTTCCTTCTCTCCCCCCCACTCCCCGCAAAAAAAAACCCATTAAATTCCAGGTTCTTTGTTTTAGCATGATCTACATGTAGTAAAAACCAGATTGTCTGCAAGCTTCCATCAGAGCCTTTCCTGCAGATCAGACAGCCCAAGCATGAACCAAGCCTTTAAAATGCCCAAGGAGAGCTGCAGAAGGAACCTGCTAGCCATCAAGAAATCAGTGCAATTAACACGGTTGTAGCATGTAACAGCACAGTTGTGCTAGTAGTCAGCAAGCAGAAGTCAGCTGTCCACAGAGGATTACTTTGGGAATGCCATATGAACATATGACACTGCTTTTTACTAAGTCCAGCTAGTGGTCTATCAGCATGACAGCCACTCTTCCAGGTTCTCCAGTAGACTCTTGCAAGCAGCAACTTTAGCTGTGCCTTTGAGCCAAAGAGGCATCTATCCAAATCTGCCTTTCAGCTGAAAATGCCGAGGATTGCAAGTGGTACCTTCTGTATGTGAAGTAGATGCTCTACCACTGAACTATATTCCCCCTCCAATGACGTATCAGCAATGTCCTTGAAGCATACTTTACAGGAAGTGCATCATGTTTTGCCTACATGCTTCAGCAGCAAGTGAGAAGTCATGGAGTATATTGCTCAGTATGGTTTGGGAAATATTCTGAACAGTTGACCATTTTTGTCAGAGCAGAAGAGCTCTGTTGCAGCAAATGTTGTTATGAAGGGACAGGTGAAAGCAATGATGATGGTGGACAATTTTTACTGAGATTGCTAGACTAGATCTTGACTGGTCTTGTCTGGTGGATACAAAGAGCTCTCCAGAATGCAAATAGCTCAAGCAGCAACTTTAGCAGTGCCTTTGAGCCAAAGAGGCATCTATCCAAATTTGCCAGAATAAAGAGTAAATAGCCTTCCCACTCACTTACTTTGCTTAGCAACTCCCCAATTTGGCCTTGCCCTTCTTTTATTACTATTTTGATTTTATTCATTGTTCTTAAAAAATACATGCCTGTGACATAAAACATAACAGCAAACCAGTAGAATATGTTCAGTGTGGTCATTCGTCTTTTTAAAAATAGCCCTCCCAAGATAAATGCAATACAGCAAACCAGTAGAATATGTTCAGTGTGATCATTCGCCTTTTTAAAAATACATTATCAATACAGCACATTCATAGCCCTCCCAAGATAAATGCAACAAAAAAATTATTTTCTCCATACTTGATAAAATTGCTGTATTATTTCTTCTGACATTTTCCTAGGATCTTATCCTGTTCCAAGTCTAATTAAGGACTGTTATTTTTCCAGCAGCAACCTGGTTGTGCAAGCTGTACCTTTCCGAGCTCACTTAACAGCAAGTTACTTTCCTCATTTCAATACATAGCAAGTCCTTCATCCAATCCCTTTTCTAAACTGGCATTCAACAAGATTGCCCTTGTCAGGAGCCACCTTGAAAACTTTTGTCTTGAATTTCAACCAGCACAAGTTCATCTCACACTTCATCCCATTGGGAAGTGCCTGGATTAGAGTGAGCTCTGGACGAGAATGAGCACAAAGCTGTCGGACGCGAGGGACTCGCTGACAAGGCTGCCTCTTGATTTATTGTACACGTTCCATAGTGTTGACAGGGCTGAAAACCTGCACTGTCAGTGAGCTAAACAGATGTGACCAGAAAATCCATGAGGCACATTTTATAAATAAGAATGAGGTGACCGTGAGGGCTGTGTGCTCAATGATTTAAAGCACAACAACTCCCTTGTTTTAT